GATGCAAATACATTGTTTTAATTTTTCCCCTATTGCTATTTCTATCCATTCCTATAATTCTACTTATTCCCATTGCTTCATTTCCTTAAAGAGAAGAATAATTAATCTTTATTTTTTTTCTTTTTTCAATCAGTAAATGAAGAAGCACAGTAGACAAAAATATTTCTCATTTACCTTTTGGTCTTAGGCATCAAGTTTTATATTACTCACAAAGAAATGAATGTGAATTTCTCATTCTATTTCCTTTTTAGCATACTCTGAAACTAGGAGTCCTATCAAGAGGTGACAATGTGCTAGCAGCCCTCACACTCGGCACCTCCTTGGCCTCCGCATCCACTCTGGCGGCGCTTGAGGAGCCCTTCAGCCCGCGACTGCACTGTGGGAGCCCCTCTCTGGGCTGCCCTAGGCAGGAGCCTGCTCCCTCTGCTTGCCAGGAGGTGTGGAGGCAGAGGCGCGCGGGTGGGAACGGGGCTGTGTGTGGTGCTCACAGGCCAGCATGAGTTCTGGCGGGTGCGGGCTTAGCAGGCCCCACACTCGGAATGACTGGCCGAGCTGTGGGCCCAGGCCAGTGAGGAGCTAGGAGCTTAGCACCTGGGCCAGCTGCAGAGTTTACAAAGGGTCCCCCAGCACTGCCAGCCCATGTGCACCACAGCTGGAATTCTCGCTGGGCCTCAGCCACCTCCCCATGGAGCAGGGCTCGGGACCTGCAGCCTGCCATATCTGAGCCTCCCCGCTCCCTGCTTCCTCTCCCCCATCCTCCCTCCCAAAAGGGCTGAGATTACAGGGGTGAGCCACTACTCCCGGACCATAAAATTCTTTAGGTGAAAATAAATTTACTGCATTAGCATCTAGAGAAGTCTTAAAACCTTGTTTTCTTTTAGCTTTTGAACAGAATTAACATGAATGATTTCTTTCCAGCCTCTGTCTTAAGTTTAATTTAAATCATTTCCCTATGCCATGGCATGAAAGATTCTGATGGAGGAAAGGGGAGATAAAAAATAGTAGCTTATATTAAGTAATCAAAATTTATTCAGGGACAATTAAAGGATACAGATCAACATACATAGCCACTCAGAAAAGTAATTTAACCCACAAACTTTACCAAGTAGATTCATCTTAAGTGCCCCTGAACTGTTCCAGAGTCATCTCAGCACCCAATATTCTTGGCACTAAGGCATTTGCTCCTGGGTCTTTTATGTGTTGAGAAAGTAGCCCCTCCATTCAGTCCATGATGCTACCACCTTTCCTTTGAGCATATGTAACCATGGTTCCACCTCCTAACTTTTTTTTGCTTTTGTCTTCTACTTTGGGCAGTCCCATGCAACTTCCTTGCCTTCAATTACAACTTAACATAGAGGACTCCAAAACCTTGATTTGATCTCAATTCAGACCCATCAAGACTGACTCACTTGGTCAACTCTTTCTGTATCAGACTGTGTTTAAGTACATCCTTCTCAGTCATATCCAAATCACTTGGACCTCTGTGAAATACTTCTGTAGATACTGCTTCAGTGATTCCTATATTCCTCCTTGCTCCTTTTTTACCGTCAGCATAGACCTCTCTCATGGTTATCCAATAACTTCTTCCCTGAATGCTCACTTTCAGAGTAGCAAACTCTTTTGCAACATAGAGGACTCTGAAACCTTGATCTGATCTCAATTCAGACCCATCAAGACTGACTCACTTGGTCAACTCTTTCTGTATCAGACTGTGTTTGAGTACATCCTTCTCAGTCATGTCCAAATCACTTGGACCTCTGTGAAATATTTCTGTAGATACTGCTTCAGTGATTCCTATATTCCTCCTTGTTCCTTTTTTACCCTCGGCATAGACCTTTCTCATGGTTATCCACCAACTTCTTCACTGAATGCTCACCTTCAGAGTAACAAACTCTTTTGCAAGTCTACCTGGCCGGGCGCAGTGGCTCATGCCTGTAATCCCAACATTTTTTTTTTTTTTTTTTTAAAACAGAGTCTCGCCCTGGAATGCAGTGGAGTGATCTCAGGTTCAAGCAATCCTCCTGCCTTAGCCTTCCAAGTAGGTGGGATTACAGTCACCTGTCACCATGCCAAGCTATTTTTTTGCATTTTTAGTAGAATATATACACTACTATATTTTGTATTTAGTACATATATGTACATATATATACACACACACATACCTATATACATATATATATAGATCATCAGAGGTCTGATATATATATGTGTATATATGTATAAAATCCATACCTATACATATATATATATCTCATCAGGGGTCTGATATATATATAATATATATATGTATAAAATCAGACTATTTTACATAGGAACACTTTACGTAGGAACATATATTTTTATATATATATAAAATCAAGCTCCAGGTTACATAGGAACACAATCTTGTTCTTTTTAAACAGAAATCATTTCTGTTTATCTTCTATTACAATTATTCAGAAAGTTCTCCACTATATATTTTTATAAGATCCTTTAATACTTATATTTTATTCCACTTGAGAATAAAACAATATATCTTATTGTTCTGAAAGAAAGCTTTTTTAAAAAAGAGAATTCATACATATGCAAATTCAGATCATTCAAAAGTTGAAAATAACTAGAAATTAATAAGACAAAAATGTGTTAAAATATTGGAAGCTCAAAGCAAATATAAATTTTAGTTTTTCTTTTAGGTGGATCTGAACTGGTCTTGTAAAAACATTCTAAGTTTGGAGAAATACTTTAAAAAAATTAAGAAAGAAGTAATGCAAATAAAAATATCAGTTAAAGCAAATTTCAAAGAAAAGCAGGGAAAAGATTTCAAGAGCATGAAGTATTTGGAAAGAATCCAAAGTTCTTATATAAATACAGAAACAGTATGTGAATGTGCTAACATATTGTGAAGAGAAGTTCTCTAAAGAGGAATTTGGAGGAAAGAGATTTTATTCCAGTGAACAGTTTGCAAACTGAGGAGACATAGCCTTCTGTGTTCCAGAGAACAAACGAGGAGTCTAGCTTTTATAGGGAATGTTCTTGCCCAGGTTCCCAGTCAGGTCCTCCTATGTAAATAAAGGATTCACATTTGCTTAGTTCTGATAGATGGATGCAAGCCACAGCCTTTTGGTTAGTTTAGATGTTATGAACATGTACAGTCAGCTATGAAATTCTTGAAGTTAAGCAGATATGTGTATTTTCCAGAAACTCAGAGGAAGATGTGACCTCTAATCAGCAAATGGTCATTTTGGCTCCTTTTTACATTTAAACCCAGTTAGCCACTTGAACTTTATCTTGAGAGACTGGCTCTTTCAGGTTCATAACATTCAGGGACTCTCCATGCCTTCAACATGATTTTCTTTTCTTTGTTTCTTCTATTCTCAGAAACCTTCCATTGATGGCAATGCTTCATCCCTTAGGAAGAATGCCACATCACCATGCACAGAAATCGCAGACAGGAAGTAATCTGAGACTTTAAGCCATCAACAAGATGACTCACACAACAGGAGAATGAAATAATTAAGAGTCTAGCACTACAGGGGCTTCTGTTTTTACAATTGATAAAAATGGTCACACCTTTCTATTACTTTTTTTTCTTTTTCCTTATTTTTTATTATTTTATTTATTTATTTATTTATTTATTTATTTATTTATTTGAGACAGAGTCTTGCTCTTTTGCCAGGCTGGAGTGCAGGGGCACGATCTCCGCTCACTGCAAACTCCATCTCCCAGGTTCAAGCGATTCTCCTGCCTCAGCCACCTGAGTAGCTGGGACTACAGGCGTGTGCCACCATGCCCAGCTAATTTTTGTATTTTTAGTAGAGACAGGATTTCACCATGTTAGCCAGGATGGTCTCGATCTCTTGACCTCGTGATCTGCCCACCTCAGCTTCCCAAAGTGTTGGGATTACAGGTGTGAGCCACTGCACCTGGCCTGCACCTCTCTATTTCTTATTTTGACCTAGAAGTGCTAAAAGAAACTAAAGAAAAACTACTTTGCTTATGAAGTTAATCTAACTGAAAGTAATACATCTCTTTTATGGATTCTTAAAAATTTTTCTTTCTAGATGATATAATTTTATGCTGGATAAATAAAACACACCCAATGTCATACACAACACACAAGTGGCTTGTACTGATCTGGGGCAGAGACCCACTACTGCACTTGGCTGGTTTTAAAACAATACTTAAAGAAGATATCTTGCATTTAATATGAAGAAGGAGAGAACACCATCAAATTCTTTGAATTGATCAAGAACCATAAGAAATAAAACACATACATATGACATCTTAGAATATCTGAAAAACCAAGCATCTCTTTTCCTACATAATTACATTACTATTACCCAGGTATAGCATAGTATATTAAAATATATTAGGTCATAAATTTACGTTAGTGCATAAATACTCCATAGAACATTATCAAAGAGTAGATTAGTGACCAAAGCCTAAATATCCCTGGTTGACTTCATCCAGTGAATTAAAAAATTGCAAAAGATAAATTTTCTGTTTCAAGACAACCGTAGTACTACAAAGGATGAGATATGGAAAACACAAGGCAAGATAATACTGAGATTTCAGTCAAATAAATAAAATAGAGAAACTCAAATTAACTTGTTAACAACTCCCTTCCTGACTTAGGTATTACACCCCCAATGTATTTGCACGCAAACACAAACACACACACACACACACACACACCAGACACAGTGAAGATCACTGATGAGATGGGCAAGGGGCATGACTTGGGGAAGAACTAGGGTGATTAGATTAGTTATCCAAGAAATCATTGTAGTGCCAAGGAAGTAGTGAGTAGATTTTCATTTCCCCTTTCTAATGGAGTTACATTGGGTGTGTTAGAGGTTGTTAATTAGTCTTTTAGATGTAAGTTGCTAGACCATGAGAAACCACATCCAGACCTGTCTCAAAAGACTCAAAAGATGCTTATTACCCAGTACGTTGGCTTGGAAAAAATGCGAGATAGAGATTTGTTTGGGGTTATATTCCTTTGGCGAGAGAAAGATTGCATTTCTTATTGTACATAGAATAATTTCTGGTATTAGGTAGGAATACTTCTGGAAAAGTATATATAGAGAAATAATAATGCAGCCAGGCAGAGTGGCACATACCTGTAATTCCAGCTACTTGAGAAGCTGAGACAGGAAGATGGCTTGAGCCCATGTGTTCCAGGTTGCCGTGAGCTATGGGCAACAGAGCAAGACCTTGTCTCTAAAACAAAACAAAATAAAATGCAAAGTAAAAGAAGGAGAAACAGTTGAAAAAAAAAAAAAAAAGAAGAAATTACAGTGCACACCAAAGTATCTTTCTTGAAAAGAAAGACCTACCATTACCTTTCCAAAAATCCTTAGTGGCCATAGGGCCAGATACATAATCTATGCTGGATCATTCAGAGAATCTTGTTATTCTATCAACAATTGGTTCAAAAAAGATTCCGTAATATAAGTACATATAAACTGATATTTTTTCTGGAACTCTATACTAGGATCAAGAGGAAGAAAAAGAGATTGGGAAGACAAAGTTAGAGTGAGAGAAACAAAGAGATACAGAACGAGAGAAAGAGATCTCACATCTATGTGTCAAACTTTGTAACTAGAAGTATGTCAGTCAGAGGCTGCCAAAAGCTATATATATGCATATAAAAATAAGCCCTAGACAATCAGGCAAGAGAAAGAAATAAAGGGTATTCAGTTAGAGAAAGAAGTCAAATTGTCCGTGTTTGCAGATGATCCAACTCTATGTTCCTTCTACCATTATTCCACACCCTTAATATGCATTCCCATGCTTGTTCTTTAGATTTCTGTTTATATAAATTAGAAATCAAAACCATTTTTTTCTTTTAAAAAGCCACGTAATGAAACCCCAACAATGTACTTCACATCGAAGTGGGAAAATATCCAAAAGGAACAGCTTCGACTTCCATGAGGTGAAAGGGCACCATGAAGATTGTTCACCCTTGCTGCATTTGGGAGTTACATGGTTATTTAGTAACATTGTTTAAGAACTACTGGATTTAATGCAATCCTGCATAAAAACATAATTTATTCTATGTGAAAAAATAAGACAGGGCTTATTACTAGAACCACCAAGATCAAACATCATGAACTTTTTTTTTCTTTTTTCTTTTTTTTGGAGACAGAGTCTCGCTCTGTAATCCAGGCTGGAGTGCAGTGGCACAATCTCGGCTCACTGCAACTTCCACCTCCTGGGTTCGAGCAATTCTTCTACCTCAGCCTCTCAAGCAGCTGTGAATACAGGCGTGTGCCACCACATGAGCCACCGTGCCCAGCCAAACATTTTTAGGATTGTGTTTAATTTTTTTTTTAAAATTAGGTGTTTAACTATTTTTTAAAATAAAACACAGTCTTAAAATGTTTGGCTGGGCTCAGTGGCTTGCGCCTGTAATCCCAGCACTTTGGGAGGCCGAGGCGCGCAGATCACAAAGTCAGGAGATCAAGACCATCCTGGCTAACACAGTGAAACCCTCTCTCTACTAAAACTACAAAAAAATTAGCCGGGCATGATGGCGGGTGCCTGTAGTCCCAGCTACTCAGGAGGCTGAGGCGGGAGAATGGCGTGACCCTGGGAGGCCAAGCTTGCAGTGAGTTGAGATCGCCCCACTGCACTCCAGCCTGGGTGACAGAGTGAGATTCCATCTCAAAAAAGAATAATAAAATAAAATAAAGTGTGCAGCTATTTTCTTATGTTGAAAAGACTGAAAGTCTAAAGCAACAGAAATCAGTATTAAAATTTTTTTGTTCACACTGAAAAAATAAAAATATAAATTTATATATAAGCATTTTAATATATAATACAAAAAATTAATAAGATTTTATTAAATAAATACATTCCATCAAAAAGTACCATACATGTAAGCACCTATTTATAGAATCATAGTGTTTTTCACTGCAACCCAAGGATGGTGCTTAGTTTGAAGATATAATATTTATATGTATTGATGTGAGATACCATACAAAGATTCACATTTAAAGAATGCATTTGAAAATAAGCTGTAACTAAGTAAGTGCTTGCTTATGCAGCCATGTTTATTTTGTATTGTTTCATCTGTTCATTTTACTGAGGAGGTGAAATCAAATTTTATGGAGAAGGTTTAATCAAATTGGCCATTCAGTCATCCAGACTTTTCGCTTAGGCAAAAAATAACCAAGATGACTTTTCAAATATTCAACAATATTTAGTATCCACAGCATGAATTTCAACATCCTTTATATTTTGTTTCTCAGAAAATATAGTCTTTATTTTCCCAGAGTTCCTCTTCTTATAAAACATGTAAGCAATATCTTTTTAAAGAATTAGCCATCAATCATATATTATAGAATAAAAATAAGAAATTAACCTTTCCTGAACAAAAATAAAATTGATTATAAAACATAGAAAGATGATGATACTGAATTCATTTATTTGTCATATGGGTGGATATGTATATATTTTGTTATATCTGTAAATATCTTATTAAAGATCCTATTTTTTGTTTCTACATTCAAGCCTTCCTTCTTGTTTTTAATAGAGCATTAGCTCCTCTGAACTTCAGTAAAACACATGACAAGGTTAGAACCTGCAGAGAAATATGACACAGGTGTGAAGAAAATTCCTTTGTATTAATTCATGAATTAATATGAGTCTCTGATGTTACAGACACCTCTAGATTTTTTCCCTCTTATTTCTTTTGATTGGTACCATTTGACATTACTGTACTTCAGTATGTTAGTCCTTTATGTGACATCGGAATTTATCATAGCTTTGGACATGTTGGATATTGATACTTTCTTCTTTTATGGAAATAGATGATCAAACACAGAATTCTTATAAATTATTTCTAAAAGCAGAAAGGAATAGTAAAATAAATATTGAAGGACAAGTGGATTCAAAGATTGAATTCATTTGTTATTTCTAAAAACAAAGCATTAAATATTCATGTTGCATTTGTTCATGACAGTTCAAGTTCTTGAGTGGAATGCAGAGATCATTTATTTCAGTGCTGACTTAATGCAGGATTAGTTTATTTTAGTAATATGCTATTGTTAGAATTAAACCCAGGAGTCAGGCTTTCCAAGTTTGATTTGACCTTTTACTTTTCATTTCTATGTGTGGCCCTTTGGTCTCAGGCTTTGGTAGATTAAAGTTGACCACAGATTCTTTCCCATCACCGTTCCCATCAAGAGGCAGGGGCTATTTCTGATGTTCGCCTGTTACAGCTTTGACCAATTGTGTGTGGAAGAAGTGCCACCATGACAGTTCCAGGTCTGAGTTTCAGGGCTCTGAAAATCTTGTAAATGTTGGCCCCTTTTGTCCCCCTTGCAAGGCCCTGGGACTACCTAAAGGGACTCAGCAAAATCCAGGCTTCCAGATGCCTCTGTTAAGGCATCAGCATGCACCTGAAACTCTCATTACCCCTCCACACCAGTCCAGCTACTAGCTGACTACCACTTAGTGAACTGAGGTGATACCACTCAGAATGGAAGAATCACCCAGGGGAGATCTGCCTGAATTCCTGACACACATTGAGATGAAATGAAATGGTGGTCATTTGTAACCTCTTGTTTTGAGGTAGTTAGGCGGAACAAAATGGCCAAGGGAATAGTTAGTGTCACCAAGGTGGCCAACAATATTAACGGTATTAATTAGCTTTTGAACAACAATAAAGCTAAAATTTAAATTCTGAGTTTCTAGTTCTATATACAGTTGGTCCTCTGTATCTGCAGGTTGTACCTCTGTGGATTCAACCAACTGTAGATCAAAAATATTTTTTAAAATTGTGTCTGACAGATTTTTTTCTTGTCATTATTTTCTAAACAATACAGTGGAACAACTGTGCATTTACATGGCATTAACATTGCATTAGGCATTATAAGTAACCTAGAAGTGATTTAAAGTAACAGGAGAATGTGCATAGGTTATATGTAAATACAATGCTATTTGATATCAGGGACTTGAGCATTTGCAAATGTTGGTATCTTAGGAGGGTCCTGGAACCAGTCCCTCATGGATACCAACGGACAACTGTATATACCTTCAAAATGTTCTAATGACCCTGAAACCAACCCAATGAAAATTTAAACACATTGATTAAAAACATAACTTATTCTAAATCAGTGACTTCTGTACTAACTATTTATGTTATTGACTTAATTTTCAACCTTCACCCGTAATGTAGGTCAGAGCAATGTATATTTAATAACCTGTGCACTTATGAACTAAGGTATTTTAAACAGCATTTTGAGTAAAGGAACCTAAATTAAGAAGATAATATGTTACTTTTGAATGTGGTGGTTCACATCATCAGACAAGATGTAGTGGCAGCAGGTGAAGAGTGTGTTTCATAGCCCTGGCCTCCTAGGTCACTCAGTTGCCTTTTATTACTTCATCTTTTTTTTTTTTTTTTTTTGAGACGGAGTCTTGCTCTGTCGCCCAGTCTAGAGTGCCTTGGCGCTTTCTCAGCTCACTGCAAGCTCCATCTCCCGGGTTCATGCCATTCTCCCACCTCAGGCTCCTGAGTAACCGGGACTACAGGTGCCCGCCACCACACTCGGCTAATTTTGTTTTTGTATTTTTAGTAAAGATGAGGTTTCACTATGTTAGCCAGGATGGTCTCAATCTCCTGACTTCGTGATCTGCCCGCCTCGGCCTCCCAAAGTGCTGGGATTACAGGCATGAGCCACTGTGCCCGGCCTACTTCCTCATCTCTTTATTGTCTTGGAGCCTTCTGCCTGGACCCTCATTCTTCTCCGTGGCAAACCCTTCTCATGCACCTTTATGACTTGCTTAAGGTTACTCACTCAGTGTCATTTCCCTCTTGACCGTTCAACAACAAGATGCTTAATTACTTCCTTCTTTATAACTCCACAGACCCGGGGCGAGGAAAATGAATCTCTGGATGTGCATCTTCATGTAGAGTCAGCCCACTGTAGGCCTGGTGATGAGTGACTGTGCTTCATGCAGTTCAATGCAGAGGTTGCAGAGGTGCAGCCTTCTTCAAAATCTTGTGGTTTTATTGTCACAACACAGGACCTTTTAGGGGGCAGGGAAAGAGGTTTCTCACTGACTCAGCCTATGTGTCAGGGGGCAGGAAGGGCTGGTTCCTATGTGTGCAGGAGGGAAAGGGTAACCAGGCATAAGGAGGCAATGGCCCAAACACCATTCTTAACCTGTAAGTCATAAGACAAAGGCAAGAAGCAGAGAACAAGTGAGCAATTCAGTTTCTTTATAGACACTACTCCTCTATTCATCTGTACAAAGCATTATTATCTGAGATAAAGCTATTTTGATAGATAAAATCATGTTCACAATGCAGAAAGCAGTGAGCATCTGAGACTCATAGAACTCTAGACACTGAGAAATTGTATTATTCAAACTCTTAATATGGTGTACCTGAGGCAGTACAGACCTGGATAACATCCTCTATGTAACCAAGGACACGTCCAGTGAGTGGAGGAGACAGGAGGACATCTCTTTGTCTAAGCTCTCCTGGCAACGTTCTTTCAACCACATCATAGATGAAAAAGAAACTGTAGAGGGAAGAGAAATTTGAAATTGAAGATATTTTCCCATCTTCCAATGGTTTCTAGTTTCTTCCTACTTTCTTTCTGACCTGAAATTTTTTCATTGAAAAGCACATCACGTTTAGGCCTTTGAATTTGGAAACACACACATATACCCCAAGCACGAACTTTGGATTTACAAATGTTGGGATACATTAACTACGTATTTAAAGGGATTTTGTTGTTGTTGATTTGCTAAGAATAATGTGGGATTTGTTCTGGCTTGCCAAGTATTTCATATAAATAGTTTGCTTAATGAAAAGAGGCCTGAGAAAAGGATATGATTAAAATTCTTCAAATTGTAGCCCAGAGGGAAAAATACTATTATGGACTAGGTGATTTGAAGAAATAATTTGTTTCAAAAATCCACTCTGCTAATTAAGTTTCCAATGCATGCACAAAGACTTGGCTTAATTAATAATTCCATGTACATATATGCAATAGAATGAACAGTTTCCTTAGCACCTGAACTATGAGTCATTTTTGCCCAAAGCAAGTGAGGATGGTGAGCTACTGCACAGGATCATGGAGAGTTGGTTGGGGGTGGGGCGTGAAGAGTCTGGCATTATATTAAAAGGATATTTTATCTACTGAAGTAGCTATCTGTCAGCGAATGCTATTTAAGCACATTCTTTTAAATAGGAAAAAATATTCCTGAGTTTTGTGTTGCTCAATTTATTGAATTAAGATTATTAAAAGTGGATATTAAATATAATCTTTATCACAAAGTCACTCCTGTGTACTATGCCAGATACTTAGGCAGCATTTAAGTTCTTTGAGTCCACTAGAATTACATTTGCCCTCTTATTATTTCAACAAAAGAAGCTATTTTCATTTGTGAATATATGATTTAGTTATAAATATTTAAGGCATATGTTTATCATCTTCCATTTTCTTTTTTTCTTTCTTTCTTACTTTTTTTTGAGACGGAGTCTCCCTCTGTCGCTCAGGCTGGAGTGCAGTGGCGCGATCTCGACTCACTGCAAGCTCCGCCTCACAGGCTCAGGCCATTCTCCCACCTCAGGCTCCCAGGTAGCTGGGACTACAGACGCCCGCCACCACGCCCGGCTAATTTTTTGTATTTTTAGTAGAGACAGGGTTTCACAGTGTTAGCCAGGATGGTCTCAATCTCCTGACCTAGTGATTCGCCCACCTCAGCCTCCCAAAGTGCTGGGATTACAGGCTTGAGCCACCGCACCTGGCCCCAGTGTGCACTTTCATCTTCTCAAAAGCCATGTGTATAAACAGTGACTTCAACAGTTCCAGGTTGTCCTTCTTCCAAAGACACATTTAAACAACACATTGCTGCTAATTTTAGGATTTTTCAGTGGGCACATAACTATGAACAAGCATGATGTTTTGCAAATCATTAGGTATCAAGGTACAGTGGATTTTGCAGCACAGAGAGAGCTTCAAGTAATAAACTTCACAATCCTAATATTTCCAGAATTTGATGTCATTTACTAAACGAAGCATATAAAAACATTTCTATAAACATAGCAAAATAAAGCCCCAATAGTGAGGGCATAGAGCAGGAAGAGCATGTTGAAATATGACTTTTGCGTTTGTATGTATGACTGAAATAAGAGGTGGCAAGCTGCTTATTCTCAACTTTACCAACTACACACATTGTTCTGTGAGGCAGTCTTGCTAGTCAGGATTTCCTTAAGGAATCTGAGGAGATCAACCACAATTTTAATGAAAGAGGGTGCTAAACCAAGCACTGTCAACGTATTATCATTACGAAAGGATCCAATAAGATTGCTGATATTAAAAATTGACTCTCAATATCTTCATATTTTAAATGTGGTGTTAAACTAAATACTAAATAGGATAAAACCAATAGCCAAGGAGATGATGACAAAAGACTTTCTCAATCTACATGAACTGCTCGTTTTGATTACATCTTTTACTCAGTACTATGTTTAAGGAATTTGGCTGTAACAAAATAAGTGTCTGTTTTGAAATCTGATGATGAATTTCTCCCGTAGATGCATTGGTTTGTAGAGGTCAAAACTGAATGATCACACCTTGGCAAAGATTTCTCTAACACTCTACTCAATGGTTTACAACAGCAGTCCCCAACCTTTTTGTCATCAGAGACTGATTTTATGGAAGACAATTTCTCCATCCAGGAGTTGGAGGGTGTGATTTCAGGATGATTCAAGAACATTACATTTATTGTTCACTTTATTTCTATTATTATTACATTGTAATAATATATAATTAAATAATTATACAACTCATCGTAATTTAGAATCAGTGGGAGTCCTGAGCTTGTTTTCCAGTAACTAGATGGTCCCATCTGAGGGTGATGGGAGACAGTGACAGATCATCAGGCATTAGATTCTAAGGAGCATGCAACCTAGATCCCAGATCCCTCACACACACAGTTCACAATAAGATTGGTGCTTTTATGATAATTCAACGCCACTGCTGATCTGACAAGAGGTGGAGCTTAGACAATAATATGAGTGATGGGAAGTGGCTGTAAATAACAGATGAAGCGTTTCTCCATGGCCTGCTGCTCACCTCCTGCTGTGCCACCTGGTTCCTAACAAACCACAGACTGGTACCGGTCCCTGGCCTTTACAACAAATAATATTCTTAACAGCAGACATATGGATGTTCACTGTATTCCAGGAACTTTTTATAGTGTTTTACTGAACTCACTTAATTCTCATCACAAGTCCACATAGAAGGCATGATTATTATTCCCATTTTACAGATGAGGGAACTGATGCGCAAAGAGATTAAGGAGGCTGCCCGTGGCCACATAGGCAGAAAGTAGCAGAACAACCATATGTACCAGGTAGCTGGGTCCCAGAGCTCAATATATTCTAGTGTCTCCCTGGAGATCTCTACAAATTAGTCAACCAATAGGTGACAAGTTTCTAATACTGACTGTAATAATCACTTAGCCAAGACATCCAGTTATCATAATTATCTGTCCTCTTATAATATTTCTTTTCCATTTCTCATGCTTCTCTTCTGCCATGCTGAAGACCCCAATCAATTTTTCGTATGGCTGTCTCTGTGCCAAGAACGTCCTTTCTCAATAATCTCCCAGGAAGTTTTCATGGTACATAATTTACTACATAATTAAAAGAAAATGGTGTGCTTTGACACCTACTTGTAAAGTGCCTCAATTTGGAAATGAAAACACAGCTTTTTAGGCTCAAATATAAAGACTTTATTTTCTAAACTGAATAGGTTCACAGTTTATTTTTACATTAAAGAATATTATAGATTATAAAATATAATAAATGTAGCTCTATATTTACATATATTTATATTTTTATTTTCCTATTTTAAAACATTTTCCTTTATTTATATTTAGATATAAAAGCATGATCATGAATTAACTTATTAACACTTCTATTCATATTGTTGCATGTCAATACAGCAACAATTGTTTTTCTGTGTAGCAATGGTGTACATTTGCTGAAACAAAAATTAAGACTCCCATCTTGACTAATGGCAAAAAGAAGAAAGGAAGAAATTCATAAGCTAAAGATGAATTTAACCAGTTTAACTCATTCATCAGTTCTTAGTGTGTTCTATGGTAACACATTTTGAGAAGTGGCATGCTTCTCTCTGAAATCTATATAGTTACATATATGTGTGTGTGTGTGTGTGTATATATACACACACATATATATATTTATTATTCTCAATGGTAGTGGAGGCTGGGATGTTGTAGTGAATGCAAGCATCAGAAAGTATATTTCATTAAAAATATCTTTCTTGAAAGGCCACTATTTACTGGGATTAACAAACTCTTTTTTGAAGATTGCAGAATCCCATAGGATTAACTCGCCTTTAATCACTGATATGGTCTGGCTCTCATCTTGAATTATAATCTGAATTGTAATCCCCATTAATTGGGGAAATGACCTCATGGGAGGTGATAGGATCATGGGGGCAATTTCCCCATGCTGTTCTTGTGATACAGAGCGAACACTCACAAGATCTGATGGTTTTATAAGAGACTTTCCCCCCTTCACTCTGCACTTCTCTCCCCTGCTGGCTTGTGAAGAAGGACATGTTTGCTTCCCCTTCTACCATGGTTGTAAGTTTCCTGGGGGCTCCCCAGCCCTATGGAACTGTGAGCCAATTAAACCTCTTTTCTTTATAAATTACCCAGTCTCAGGTATGTCTTTATAGCAGTGTGAAAATAAACTAATACAATCACATCTCAGTATTTTATGAGGCTGACAAATTCATTGAATCCAAATTTGGATTCTCTGGGAAAAGTAGAAGAAAGGAGAGGGGGAGGAGAAGGACAAAATGCAAAGACTAGGGGAAAGCACTAACAAAAGCCTGACAGAACCTGATCTCTCCCTTTTAATCTTAGGAATTCTAGAAAAGAATTTTACAATGGACTTAAGTCCATGCTCCTTTCTGATATGCATAACAATCTCAAATACACGGGATTTTGTGAAATTTTCCCCTGCATGCAAAGGGAGGAAAGGGGAGAGAAGGCATACTCCTCTGCAGTTTAATTCTCACTAGCCCTTTAGACTTTGCATAACTTTGCATTTTAGACCCTGTTTTATAAAGATAATAGTTTGAAGAGAATTTATAAATGTGTAAACTTGAGGTGACAGTTTTTCTAATTAAAATAAACTGAAAAAATAGTAAAGAGAAATATAAACTGGCAGGATCAGGTGATGACGACAGACACTGGGAAACATCTGGAAAATGTATGGGGGGTAATCACAGGCCCACTCTTTCTGGGGACTGAGCTTGACTCCTGCTACTGACATTTACAGCCTTGAAGCAATACAAATTCAACATCTGCTTATGCATTCCAAAATGGTGCATGCAGCTAAGAACAGTGCTTATGACATTGATTACTTTAGAAACTGCACGGTACATTCCTGCAAATACTTTTTTTTTTTCTGAGATGGAGTTTCACTCTTGTTGACTAGGCTGGAGTGCAATAGCGTGATCTCAACTCACTGCAGTCTCTGCCTCCTGGGTTCAAGTGATTCTCCTCAGCCTACTGAGTAGCTGGGATTACAGGCATGTGCTACCATGCCCAGTTAATTTGTGTGTATGTCTGTGTTTTTAGTACAGACAGGGTTTCTGCACGTTGGTCAGGCTGGTCTCGAACTCCCAAACTCAAGTGATCTGCCCCCTCGGCCTCCCTAAGTGCTGGGATTACAGGTGTGAGGCACCGTGCCTGGACCATTCCTGCAAATACTTACATATTCTCCATGCCCAAATGGAACTGCTGTTGGAGGAAGTCCTACATGGCAACCTCCAACTCCATTTGAAAATTTCCATTAATTGTTAGGCCCCAAGTGGCAATCTGATTATATGTAGAACCCCATCTACTGAAAGATGAAATAAAACGAATATCACTGTCAAAAACTGTCCTTATCTTAAGCTTAGGACTCCCAAGACACATGCCCCAGAGAGCCCTGTAGAACTGCACCCCCTTTCTAATGCATCTGGGAGTCAAGCAGCAGCATCTCCACTGCGTCGTGTTCATTCACAATGTCATATGTCAGTCCGTATCCAAACGCAAGGGAATTAACCTCTTTCATGGGGGAAGTGTCAGAGGATTTTTGGGCATATTTTACTACCACCACAGTTCTCAATACACACTTGTTGATTGATTTAATGAATAAATGAATAGATGAAGCGCCATCTTTTAAACCATTTCCAATATGAGAGAACGATAATGTGATAGTGGACTGAAATTTTCTTACTATCTTCTTCAACATAACAAATAAATTTGTTTATTTTTTAACATGTTTACAACTCATGAAAAAGTATTAATTTCTTTTGTCCTTCTTATAAAATCACACTATGTTATTGACTGCAATTAATGAGTGTGGACCTCCTTTCTCTAGCTATTAATTTCCTTCTGCTGTTGCCTCAGAAATATCTAACAGTATGAGCTTTGAAGAACCTTTGCTGTTATCTAAAAAAATGTTTTTAAGTGAAATTACTGGGCATCTCCTTTCTGTGTGCTCTGCTCACAGAAACCTACAGGACACTGTCCAAAAGGCGAAGTGAGCAAGGAGGCCGGGTCAGTCCTTCCTGGCCCTATGGAAGTCAGCTCAGCAGGACCCCACATGGATGGGCTCCTGCAACTGTGAGCAAAGGGGGCCCATCAGGCCGTGCCCAGCCCCTAAGACACACACAGGAAGGACACACCCAATACCTGCCGCCGGGTGCCTCTGCACGGCCGTGGTGTGCACCCTGCTGCAGGGAGCAGGCACCCTCATCCCTGTGGCCCGTCTCCCGCTTCTTGTCCTCACTCTGAGGCTGTAGAAAATTGGCCTGCAACATCCTCACCCTCAACCTTGCCCTGCTGGGAAAACTTAGACCCTCAACTAAGGCTCCCAGACGCATTTGCTTGGCCGCAGTTCTCAATCTTCCCTCTGCCTGGAAGGCCCTGTCCGGTATTTCACACTTGCTAAGCAGAGTCACCTCTGAACTCAGCACCCCCGGATCCAGCCCAGCCCTCCTGGATCCACTTCCCAGAGCACCCCCTGACCCCGCCAGCCCCTCCCACTGACAACAGTGCAGGTCGGTGAAGGTGACCGTGACAGCTCTGGTAACCCTGGGAGAACCCCTGGGAGTGAGCGCAGCTCTCGGGCTCTGATTACAGCTGATTACCATAATGGAGAGAATATCTGGATTCTCCCCTAATTTCCTCTCCTCTTAAAATTTTCAATTAAGAGCCTAACCTTGATAGAAAATGACTACTTTCTGGAGTATTCTCCATGGTGCTGATTCTTCATCTGCTTTTTCTAGACAGATACAGGCTCTCAATGATTCCAAATAAAATCAGAGCCAAGGAGCTTACCCCAAGAAGGGAGGAGAGCAGAGCAGCAAAGAGCAACGCTCCGGAGCCTTCCCCACTGCTGGAGACCCCCAGTGGGTGGAGGGTCTCTTGGGCCCTTCCAGCCTGCAGAGCTGCTGAGAGCCAGGCCTGGCCGCCAACAAAGCAGCTGAAGTCTTGAGAAAACTTCCTGATTGCATTAGCGAGGTCGCACCACCAGGACATAATCAAATCTCCCTGGAGGACGTGGCTTCCGGAAGGGCTGCTACGAGCCGGTGGCAGAACCAGGGCAACCAGGGTCAGACACGGCGGAAGGAGGGAAGTCCCAGGGCTGAGCGTGGGTGGGCATCAGAGGGGTGTGGGCTGCACCATCTGGGTGCAGGGGCCAGCGGGCAGTGCGGGTCCACCCAGCCCAGAGCCAGCCTTTCCCAGCGGTCATGTGCAGAAACCTGGCACACGTCATGGGGCAGCGGTCCCCCATCATAGGCCCTCCTGGTGTTAGCAGTCAGGAGGGTGCCTAGAAAAGCCCCATGGTCACAGTGACAGCAGGATCTGAGCCCACCCTCCACACCAGGAACCTGCCCAGCACCGTAGGCAGGGCCCGGGTGCCCTGCTTAGGAACGAGCTCTGGTTCTAGCTTGGCGGTCCTAGTTCCACCCTGTCTGTACCTCAGCCGACCAGGAAGATGGCTGTGAGGACCACAGAAAACTCCGACACAGCTGGCACAAAGGAGCTGTGCCCGTGGGAGCTTCGGAGTCCTCAGGCCAGGCCGGCCCTGGCTCTGCCACCTCCTGGCTGGAAGACCTTCAGGCACCTACTGAGCCTCTCAGGGGCCCAGCATCCTCGTCTGTGGGACAGGGATAATAACAGGGTTGTTTTGAGAGTGAAAGCACAAAACACAGAGCCTGGCTGGAGAAAGCACAGGTAGCTGAGGTCAGCTGAGACTGAGTTAACTGTTCTTAGAAGAGCAGACAGGCCATCCCCCGAAGGCATCAGTGCGGGCAGGAGGGAACCTGCACTTTGCAGTCTCAACACCTGGGGACACAATTCGTGCTAATCTGACCCGCAAAATACCAAAGGATACACCCAAGACCCTGGACCAACATCCCACAACGATGCCTCCTGGTTTCTTCTCTAAGAATACTTCTTTAGAATTTCCCCAGGAAGCTAACTCTATATTCCTAATATACGGACCATGGAAAGAAAACAAGTGTCTCAGTAGGTTTGTTTAACAAATGTGCAAATGCAGGGATGAACGAAGGCGCCCAAAGTCATGGAGCAGCTCAGTCGCCTCCGACATGCTCGGGGGCCACATCCACCTCCAACCTCTGCCCTGTTCACGCTTTCCTCCACCCAGGTTCCCCTGTTGCCCTGGCACTCCAGGAATTATTTGCTGTCCTGGAAGCTTCCTTTCTCTGCTCCACAGACCCTGAGCCTGGAGCCTCCCTGCCTGCGTGTTCATCGCGCCCTCCAAGTTCCAGGAGCAGGCATCTGTCCTGCTCACCCTGACTCGGCAGGGAGGGCTGAGCTCTGGAGCCTGAGTGGACCCAGACCTGCCCCATGGCCTCCTGTGCCTCCGTGTCCTCCTCACCCTCGACTCACCGAGGAGCCCTGAGGACATGAGGACTGGAACATGCCCAAGACCCACGTTGGGGCCTGGCACACACCAAGCGCCCAGTGAATGCTGGATGACTGAGGACAGCATCGCTTCTTCTAAGAGAGAAAACAAAAAGGAAAGTCAACCAGAGACATTTGTAAAAGATGGTTTTGACTGAGGCCTTGAAGGATGGGCAAGGATGGGCAAGGATGGGCAAGGGGAGGGAGGACTCAAAGTGCAGAGATGAGAAGGCTCTAGGTGCATGAGTGCCTGTGCATGTGTGCTTGTGCATGTGAACGTGCATGTGTGTGCCTGTACATGTGTGTGTGCATGCGCCTTGCAGCCTTGCATGTGTGTGTGCATATGCATATGTGTGTTCATATGAGCATGCATGTGTGTGTGCCCTAGTCCAGACAGGGCTCTGAGTGCACTGTAGGGGACTGATGATTTCAGACTCCACCCTGAGTCTGAAATCAGTGGGACAGATGACCTTGAACAAGCCCTTATGGCTCACT